TGGTGGAGGCCGCAGGAAGTACCTGGATACGGGCAGCGCAGGATCGGTCGTTAAATATGGAAATCATTGAGGGAAGATTTTGTCCAGCAGTGGAAGTCATTTGGCTTAAACGAACGAATCTAATGCCAGTTACAGATCAGTCGAATAATGCAGTTGATTCCTTTATTTAAATTTAATTATCCCGCAGGCCGTCCAACAGGAAAAGTTTGAGGAACGCTGGTATGAACAGGAAACCACTGCAGGGCAATTGGCTCTCAGGCGTGGTGCAATGGAGAGCGACTTATGCTTGACATACTTACATCGAGTTGGCTCTTAAGCTCTAGGGCTGGAGTTGGTGATCGATTGAGTGGCACACCTTCGAAGTATGGTAGTCGAATGAGCGTAGTATGTGTAGACATGACGACACTAGCTTTAATTCTAAAGAGAAATGATGAAAACTAAATTGGAGCGGCAAGAAAAACGAATTTTAACGTCATCATCATCATCATTTCAGCCATAGGACGTCCACTGCTTAATATAGGCCTCCCCCAATGCTTTCCATGTTGATCGATTGGTAGCGGCCTGCGTCCAGCGCTTCTCTGCTACCTTCATGATTTGAATTTTAGCGTGCTTTTTACAATTCATTTTTCATAATGGGATTTCCTTCTTGCTTGTACAGTCACGGAATGAAAAGGTTCGTCAGTTTTCAAATTGATTCCTTCAACGAATCGCGAGCACATATTACCTTTTGAAACTATGTTACAGAATAATCTCGAGTTAGAAAATAAATCTTTAACTGTTAGTCAGTAAAGTTCAAAATTATTCAGATCAAAGTTGTTTGACGTTTTATTTTGTCAAGAGATTATTGTGATTGATAAACTAAAACCTTCTTGTTGGTTCAACCTGCCATTATTATTTCTATTAAATAAAAAAAAACTATTGTCAATTGGTCAATGTCATCATTGCATTGCACTGATGGGATAGAAAAATAAACAAGCAAAACCTTATTCGTTAGCAAACGTCGTATTTATTTAAATGTTAGCAGCACTGTTTCGTGCACTGTTATGTTGGCAGGTTTGACTCTTACAATACCTAGTGCAAGCGAAAACCGACACTAAGGTGACGAACCTTTTCATTCCGCGACTGTACTTGCTTTATTTACTGTTAGATATTTTTCCAAGATAACTCATCTTTTTTTTAGATGTAATAAACTAATTGTGCCGTTTCAATTTGTTATTTTTAAGTGTCTTTTTTGGGCGGTGGTGTGATGTGTGTGCACCAAAACAACATCAAAAATGTAAGTAGGAGAGTCCACAACACACAAGTTGACTTACGAGTACTTGGAACATTTTTGACGTGTCCCACTTTTCTTAATAGTCAGACCCTCCATAAGCCACCATCGTGGAAAGACTATAAAACCCCCATGAATAGAACATATGCGTTTTTTGGTATCCTGTAAATTCCACTTACCATAAAGTCATGTTTTCCTTGCATCAACTCCGAATGTACGAGTATACCTAATCCTCAAGACTTATTATCAGCAACTTACAGTGAGTGAGGGAGAGATAACACGGTAGTAATCATGTGATTGTCATTTGTTTCATTCATTTCAATCACTGTTTAATTAGCAGCAGCTACTAGTAAGTATTGCTGAAGTGGCAAGCTTCTAAATATTGAAGAAGTGTATCGTGTTAAAGAAGAGCTTTGGAAAATTTTGTAATAGGTTTTACACTAACTCATGATTATTGCAGAAAAAAAGGAGATTTTATGGGTAAAGAAAAAAAATGGCAACTTTATACCTATTAGTTAGTTAGTGGCCACTAGTCACATTTTATTGGTTGGCATCGAAGCGTTAAGACACGAGTATGATGGCATTATAAGATACATTCTATTGAAAATAATTTACACACTTTTATCATATGGTACGGTGATAAATAAGTAAATTAAAATTATAAGGTAATTCCCGGGAAAATAAACACGAAGCTGGAAGTATAGGGAAATATTTCACCCATAATGATCGCATTAATGTAGCCTCATTTCTCAGCTAGCATATGCGGGTAAAAAATGGCCAAGTGCGAGTCGAGCACTGAGGGTTTCGAAGAAACTTAACTGAAATACAAAAATAAACTTCTGAGCAGATGAGATACGTCTTCATTAAACTATCTAATGTACCTACCTAAGTAATGGTATGAGATTTACTAATGAACGACTTTCAGATTTTATCCTATACTTCTTTCTAACTTGCTTCTTACTATGATTATAGGTCAACGGAAAAATTTCATACCTCCTTATTAATAAAAGTTACACTCTAGGTCAGGGATGGCGAACCTTTATGTATCAACGTGCCACCTTTGTAAATATTTTTTGATGTAGTCATAGACGTGCCATCAAAATAACACCTGATGGTATCAATGAGGTGTAGTATCGTACAAGTGACAGGACCACTTTACAGTGGCATTAATTGATGAGGGCAAATACGCCCATAATCTAAACACATTATACTATTTTATTTTATATTATTGTAAATTTTGTGATTGGTGGCGTGCCCTAAATATTGTGGCGAGTGCCATCGGTGGCACGCGTGCCATTGGTTCGCCATCCCTGCTCTAGGTGAACACTGTTTTAAAGTGACATTTCCATACTAAACGTTACTAGAACAGGGTTCAATAAAATTATGGTGTAACTTTTATTAATAAGGGGGTTAGGTTTTAATTGATTTCCCAAAGTCAGAAATAAAGTAATATTACTAATAAAGTCTTCGTAAGGAACAATAATTTTCAAGCATTGAAAATGTTCAATGTATTATTATACGAGTAGCTGTACCCAAGACTTGTTGCTGTTGTTATAATGTTTCTAATCTTCTAAAATGATGACTCTACAGATAGACTTAGTAAGGAAGGAGTTTCTTTTCTTTTTAAGGCAACACGGAACCTTAAAACTACCCTGTATTTAATAAAATAGAAAGTAGAGCGTTGTTAATTTAATCTGGAAGCGAGTAAAAGCGGTAATTACATCCTGAGCAAAGTGGCTGAACGTGGATATTGCCGTGTTCTTTAGTTTTAATTTTTCAGGAAAACCATAGTGGGGCATTTATCATTTTAACCTCCTATAGCAGTCTACTGTTCTACTTTAAGCTCTATAAAGCACAATATCTTTTTTTTATATTGGCATTGTTATCTACCTTCTTAAAGTCATCAGTCTATTATGCAGTTGGGTAGAACATGGACAACGTGGTATCAAATCTAGAAGCCATTAATTACCTCTTTTCTGGATATCGAGGCTGGCTAGTCGGCTTGCTGCTATGTAAGCTTGCTGTGATTTTTGACCACATGACACATGATCCATTAAGGCCTGCTATATTCTAACAAAACTGGGAACTGAATAATCTGATACACTGACTGTATTACTACAATGCACATAACGGGTGGATCTAGCAATTGAACTCGTAAAAGTAACTTCAAAGCTATTTTGATATGCTAGAACCTAACGTATTCATTTACTCGCTCAAAGAATGTAGGACAAAAGCACATAGGAAAATGCGATTCTAAATATACACTTCTTTTCCTTCCCCATTTCAGACACATTTTCCGTCCTATTGCACCGATATTGGGGCCGTGTTTGCGAACAAATACAAGCATTGTTTGTTCTGCCTAACCAAGGGTGTTCGAAGCATGTCGCAGTATGTGGTTAATCCCCATAGTCTCTAATTCAAGGGTCATAAGGTCGTAAATAGTTGGGGGAAAAGTATTTCCAACAAACTACGCAAGAGCAAGTTGTAATATCTGCAAAACTGCGCATATTCCGTTCGATCAGCGCCACCGTTTCCCAAACTGGAAATTGGTTATTTCCTGTGGGTGGGGGGCGCTTGGTAAAATGTTTTCACCAAGCCTTTGACGTCGATAAAATTCTTTGATCATCTAAGCGTTTTAATGCTTGTTTTAGAGAAATTTTCCCCCCAAAGTTAGGATGAAATGAAAAACAATAACTAAACAGAGGCATTGGGTACATTCAACCAATATTTTTAACATTCAACTGAATCTTCCAGGTGTAACTACTTTGAAAGTTATATGTTGTAAGGATTTGTANAGTTTCTGTCTCATGAGCCTTGAACATAAGATTGGTATTGTGAATAATTAATTAATGTAGAGTCTTATGAAGTATTTTATGCTTGTTTCTATATTTCCAGTGGGATATAAGTTTTGAAACTTTGCGAACCGTTGACCTAGACTTATTGCATCGGAAAATTCCGTTGTATCGAGTTGAAAGCTAATATGAAGTACGCTGCACCGCGTGTGTTTCTCATTGTGTTGTATGATTGCTAGCTAACTCGTGCAAATCTGTTGGGCTTCAGTTACGAGGTCAGGTGTTGCTGATTCAGGACCAAGGAGAATCAAACTTGCCTTTTGTAGGTTTTCAGGAAAATGATGATTGAAAACAAAGGTTTTAATAAGGTGGGTAACCTCCACCTACATAGTAAACAGCCTGAAAGATTTTAATAAATGAACACCCACAACACCGCATTGCAATTGGAGTAAACCTAGCACCAGTTGCAAATGCATTTCAGTAGCACTAATATGTATAAAAAAACCTCCCCGAACGTGACTGTGAAAGTTACCAATTTTGAGAAAATAGTTTATACCTACTTCAGTAAGTACCTACACAAAAAGGTAATTTAGAAGTTACTAAACTTCTATATTACCTGTTGACTCACACTTGCACTATAGGTAGATGGTTTAGAACTATGCTTTAGAGAAGTTTGTTATGGTGTCTTCACTTAGGTTTTACAGAGGTGCAAAGTCAGTTAGATCCTTTTCATTTCAATCAACTGATACTATAACTATAGTATATTTACTGGATAACCCGTAGGTACGAGAGAGACGCCTTCTAGATAGATATTTAAGTGTAAATCTCCAAGTTTTCTAGTTGTTTTTTTGCTGAAATCCATGAAACAAAACAGCCAAGTTGCAAAAAGTATTTATTAACATAGAAAAGAATACAAAACACTATAAAACTCCGCGCCTTCAGAAGTGGGACTGCCTTATTTCCATCGGTAAACTGAAACAGAAGCGAAATTACATCAAAAACTTATTACAAAACAGCAGCTTCAACGCTTCAATTTCTGGAAGGTATTGTATTTTCAACGTGGAAAATTCCGCGGAAAAGCTGGGAAAAGTCCGTTAAAATAAAGCGAGAATGTTTGTTGTTCTATCACGTGAACTACTGAACGATTAAGGATAAAATTAATAATGCAAGACCACTAATAAAGTGCTGTTGTTTGTTGGTAACTGTTTTTGGCATTCTTATTTGAATCCATGCGTTCACATTAAATGGAATGGAATGGGAAAGGAATATAATACTCAATGCAAAATTATTTATAAATTGATATGCCAATATACAGCCGACGAAACCCTTGTTCGCAAATAAAAACGATTTGATTTGATAATATTTTTTACTTCGCAGCTTCGTATCGTCAACACCACTGGCTTTATTGTACAGTCTTAATCTATCTTTTATCTTTATAATATTCATGTACATTATTTTGTACATACATGAACTTTCTCTCTCATGCATAGTAGGTACTTTCATTTACTTGATTAAAAAAAGCTCTTTAAAATTAACATCAAACGGTACGGTACGGTTAGATCAGACAATTTACTCGATCGATCCTTGGCTAGGTACCTGAAACTTCGTCTGAAACCGGCTTCTCATCAAAGCCGTACAAAATGTACAAAATACGTAGGGGAGAACGGGGCTATTGTAACAGAAGAGAGTTATGTGACATTGTCCATTTTTTTTAACCTATTAACTACTAGCCTTTGAGGTGCCTGGATGCGGGCGGCGCAGGACCGGTCATTGTGGAAATTTTTGGGGGAGGCTTTTGTCTATAGTCCGGTCGCCGAGCACGTAGAATTTATCACATTCATCCTTATCGTTCACGCGTAATTATAATATTGTGGTCGCGACTGTGCGACGGGCGTCCGCAGCTAGTGTGCGAGCGCGATAGCATAATTAAGTGCGAGCGATAAGGATGGGTAGCTTGGGGTCAATGGACGAAATTCTACGTGCTCAGCGACCGGGCTTTAGTAGTGGACGTCATTTGACTGAAACGAACGATTAACTACTAGCGAGCTCGTAACAGTGCGCGTTTTTAGTTCAAGTCTCGAGCTGAAAATAGCTCAATTAATAGGTTTCTAAAATCATCAATGTCACAACTCTCCTCGGTCTCCCCTAGAAGTGGCAAGCCAGGATCAATCTGCATGGTAATTAAAGATTCACCGACCCTTTAATCAACTCCAGCCCTCTTCGAGACTTTCAAATCAGCAGTTTTAATCTAATTCCCGAAGTTGTGAGATCTCGGTAATTCCATTGGTATTAAAGTTGGCAAGCTATGGACCACCGTTTTACCTTCAACGTGAATTTGAAACGGCTAAGATTATCTAATTATCTTCTAAATATAATAACTCAAAGGTGACTGACTGACTGACTGACATAGTGATCTATCAACGCACAGCCTAAAGAACTGGACAGATCGGGCTGAAATTTGGCATCCGCTAAGAAAGGATTTTACGAAACTACCCCTAAGGGGGTAAAACGGGATCCACGCGTACGAAGTTGCGGGCGGCCGCTATAGTAGTGTAATATTAAACGTTATTCATACTGAGAAAAATGGGTTAGGTCCTTTTATGGCAGGGCAAGTTATATTTGGGACGTGTGTAAATGCCTTGAAAAGGGCACACTAATAAATAATTTAAATAATTCGAATTGAATTTTAAAATAGGTACCTTTGGTTAGTTTTAGTGCATTAAGATTTGGTTATGATTTTTTTGGACCTTTGGCTAGTTCTTCAAAGTGATCTTAACTTCTTAGTTCTGGTTTCTTTTATCTCTATCGCTCGAAAATGATTCGAAAAAAGTGGGATATAGTACTCTCCCCGGGGACGTTTGACTTTATTCCAGTTGGCTTAATTGACTAAAATGATGATGATGATCAGTACCAGAGTATATACAAATGAGTAGGGCATCTTCATAGAAACGCACCGAGCGCGGAGCGAGCAAAATTTAGCGTGGATTAGCGGGGTGTTGCGCCGAATTTTGTCAGTGTGTGCGTGCGCGCCGCATACGTATTGGCGCGCTCACATACAAACCGCGCTCGGTGCGTTTTTATGAAGATGACCTACTCATTTGTATTTACTCTGTCAGTACTCACTTAGGTTGTATCAAATGGAACGGCATCTTCCTCACAGCTTCCTCAGCAATATCCAGAGGGAAGGCAAACTCCAGCATGTTCTCATTCAAGCAGTCATTATACGTCGACGCCAGTTGACACCTGTCAGACATGCCCTCGATGCTGTCCAGACAGAGTCTGGAGATGCTGTTGAGTTTCCTGACTACCCTCGAGTTTTTGCCGTTGACGAGGCTCGCTTGGTGCACCAGCAGATCTCTGTTGACCTACGAAAAAAGAAATTTCAATATAAGATTCCCATGAAACAAAAAACAATAGTGTTTCAACCCCTTCAATTTAGAATCATGAATATCCTTTTTTGGGCAGTTAGAAAAGGGGAAAAACAAGAAAACAATTCTTCTGAAATAAAAACGCCTACATAAATTATGTTGCGACGTTATCCTCAATTCCAGGAAACCGATTAAAAGTGCAATTTTTCCATCTGCGATTGTGTGGGGTGGTTCTGGAGAAACGCCTACGCTAAAGAGAATAATTGTGGAATAATGTAGTACATACATTCTATTTATACTATTGAGGAGCATTTGCCCCGAAAAGGGGTTTATTAATGGCAGACTGATAAAGCATTTGAATGCGATTATAAAAAATAACATCTAGAAACATAATTTATAACAACTTAGTCTGTACTTTATTAATTAGGTACTCTGTAATTTGTAAATCCAACTGTTGCCATGATGAGTCTTCCAGCGATTTGGCCCACTTTTAGATTGGTCCACAGGCCAAGTAGCCGGATTTTATTTTATTTAGGATAACAAACAGGATTGAATTTTTAAATATTTTTTTCTGCAAGTGGGCCCACTCTAACATACTAGAGTAGATTTTTGTTGATATTGTGTTTGAATTATTAATAAAACATTGAAGGTGGACCCAGTTGCCCGAAGAAAAAATCTTTAAAAATTCAATCCTGCAACTTGACCCGTGGACCTAAAGCTGAAAGTGGGCCAAGTCGTTCTGAAAGATTCTCAATTTTTTTATGCAAGACAAGGCAGGTTCATTCATCAACAGCCCTTTACAGTCCACTGCTGGACTATGAGCCTCCTCCACTATAGTGGAGGGTTTTGCCATAATCTCCACGCTTGGCAGGCGGGTTGGAGATCGCAGTTTAAAAGATTGATGTTTTTCAGAGAGCGCTGCTGTCAAGGCAGGTATTTGACTGCAATCGCACCTGGTGTTACAATACTCGCGTGGTACAAAAGTAAATACCTAATCCAACATAGGTGGTAGGTATTTATCGTGGCTTGTAAAAATCTTTTTTCGTATTCTTCTTCGTACCTCTTTAATTCTCTTACCTTCCCATGGTTGATGATGTCACTCTGCTCAAGCATGCAAGCAGCGAAGCACTGTCCAGACCTGGAGACTGGCGAGGAGTTGGTGAAGTATGCTCTGACGTCCTTGGGGGAGGCTCGCACTTTGATGACGCAGGACTGCGCCAGACGGACTAGGGCGTCCAGGTGGCCTTGGACCTGGGAAGTTATATGTGAGAAATAATAGTTTACACCTCAAAATTGGAACTGATTCTTCATCATCATCATTTAAGTCGTAGAACATCCACTGCTGAACATAGGCCTCCCCCAATGATTTCCACAAAGGCCGGTTAGTAGCGGCCTGCATCCAGCGACTTCCTGCCACCTTTATGGGGCCGTCCTAACTGATTCTTATAACATGGTAATTCAGTCAATTAACAGCAGGTTATAAGTTGAAAAATTTTTTTGTGACTGAAAATCTATTTTTATGCTATTCTAGGTTATTTTAGGTAGCCAGACAGCCCGATCACTTGTCATGGTCGATAGAGACTTCTTTGGGTATCATTGGCTTAAATAAAAGGACAGAGCTTCACCAGTAGTTGATTAGTGTGACCCTTAAGCTCTTACCTTACCTTAGGATTATTACCTTACCCTTTAATTCTTACCTTANCTGGATAACCAGTAGGTACGAGAGAGACGCCTTCTAGATAGATATTTAAGTGTAAATCTCCAAGTTTTCTAGTTGTTTTTTTGCTGAAATCCATGAAACAAAACAGCCAAGTTGCAAAAAGTATTTATTAACATAGAAAAGAATACAAAACACTATAGAACTCCGCGCTTTCAGAAGTGGGACTGCCTTATTTCCATCGGTAAACTGAAACAGAAGCGAAATTACATCAAAAACTTATTACAAAACAGCAGCTTCAACGCTTCAATTTCTGGAAGGTATTGTATTTTCAACGTGGAAAATTCCGCGGAAAAGCTGGGAAAAGTCCGTTAAAATAAAGTGAGAATGTTTGTTGCTCTATCACGTGAACTACTGAACGATTAACGATAAAATTAATAATGCATGACCACTAATAAAGTGGTGTTGTTTGTTCGTAACTATTTTTGGCATTCTTATTTGAAAATCCACGCGTTCACATTAAATGGAATGGAATTTAATACTCAATGCAAAATTATTTATAAACTCTTGTTCGCAAATAAAAACGATTTGATTTGATAATATTTTTTACTTCGCAGCTTCGTATCGTCAACAACTCTGGCTTTATTGTACAGTCTTAATCTATCTTATATCTTTATAATGTTCATGATGTACCTTTGTAGTTACATGAACTTTCTGATGCATAGTATTTTCGTTTGCTTGATTAAAAAAAGCTCTATAAAAAATTAACATCAAACGGTTTTAGATCAGACAATTTACTCGATCGATCTCTGGCTAGGTAGGTACCTGAAACTTCGTCTGAAACCGGCTTCTCATCAAAGCCGTACAAAATGTACAAAATACGCAGGGGAGACCGGGGCTATTGTAACAGAGGAGAGTTATGTGACATTGTCGATTTTTTTGAACCTATTAACTACTAGCCTGGGAGGTGCCTGGATGCGGGCGGCGCAGGACCGGTCATTGTGGAAATTATTGGGGGAGGCTTTTGTCCAGTAGTGGACGTCATTTGGCTGAAACTAACGACTAACTACTAGCGAGCTCGTAAGATAGGTCCCATTAATTAATATTTATTGTCCGTGGTGCATATCTTTTTCATTAGGTTACAAAACCTTTCTTTGTCAACTGTCATCCGCATTGCAATGGAGGGAAGTCAAACTTCAACTTCGAACTCCTCCTATGTTCTTCTGATTAATTTCGTTGCGGGTCCAACGACAGTTTAACTTTCCCCCGGGACAAACTTGACCTTCACTGGTTGGGTTTTTATTGGCGGTCAAGCAGTAGATCCTGGCTACACAAAAGTTGCAGTGGTGGGAAAGAGAGTTGGGAATAGTCCCGTTAGCGAGCTCGTAACAGTGCGCGTTTTTAGTTCAAGTCTCGAGCTAAAAATAGCTCAGTTGATAGGTTTCTAAAATCGTCAACGTCACAACTCTCCTCGGCCTCCCCTAGAAGTGGCAAGCCAGGATCAATCTGCATGGTAATTAAAGATTCACCGACCCTTTAATCAACTCCAGCCCTCTTCGAGACTTTCAAATCAGCAGTTTTAATCTAATTCCCGAAGTTGTGAGATCTCGGTAATTCCATTGGTATTAAAGTTTGTGAGTTATGGACTACCGTTTTACCTTCAACGTGAATTCAAAATGGCTAAGATTATCATTATCTAATTATCTTCTAAATAATAACTTAAAGGTGACTGACTGACATAGTGATCTATCAACGCACAGCCCAAACCACTGGACGGATCGGGTTGAAATTTGGCATCCTCTAAGAAAGGATTTTACGAAACTCCACTCCTAAGGGGGTAAAACGAGATCCACGTGTACGAAGTCGCGGGCGGCCGCTAGTGTAATAATAAACGATATTCATACTGAGAAAAATGGGTGAGGTTATTTTATGGTAGGGCAAGTTATAATTTGGGATGTGTGTAGTGAAAATGCCATGAAAAGGGCCTACCTAATATAATTCGAATTGAATTAAAAAATAGGTACCTTTGGTTAGTTTCAGTGCTAATGCACTTAATAGATTTGGATAAGATTTTCTTGAGCTTTGGCTATTTCTTTATTAGAGATAATAACTTCCCAGTTTTGGTTTCTTTTATCTCTGTCGCTCGAATATGATTCGAAAAAAGTGGGATACCGTACTCTCTCCAGAGAAGGTAGACTTTATTCCAGTTGGCTTTATTGACTAAAATGATGATGATGGAAACTGGAAAACGCAGCGTGGGATGTCCACTCACAAGGTGGACCGACGACCTGATGAAGGTAGCAGGAAGGCGCTGGATGCAGGCCGCTATCAACCGTGCGATGTGGAAGTCATTGGGGGAGGCCTATGTTCAGCAGTGGACGTCCTACGGCTGAAATGATGATGATGATGATGATCATACTCACTTAGGTTGTATCAAATGGAACGGCATCTTCCTCACAGCCTCCTCAGCAATATCCAGAGGGAAGGCAAACTCCAGCATGTTCTCATTCAAGCAGTCATTATACGTCGACGCCAGTTGACACCTGTCAGACATGCCCTCGATGCTGTCCAGGCAGAGTCTGGAGATGCTGTTGAGTTTCCTGACTACCCTCGAGTTTTTGCCGTTGACGAGACTCGCTTGGTGCACCAGCAGATCTCTGTTAACCTACAAAAAAGAATTTATTTCAATAAAAGATTCCCACTAAACAAAAAACAATAAATTGTTTCAACCCCTTCAATTTAGAATCATGAATATCCTTTTTTGGGCAGTTAGAAAAGGGGAAAAACAGGAAAACAATTCTTCTGAAATAAAAACGCCTACATAAATTACGTTGCAACGTTATCCTCAATTCCAGGAAACCGATTAAAAGTAACCGAGTAAAATTTTTCCATCTGCGATTGTGTGGGGTGTTCTGGAGTAACGCCAACGCTAAAGAAAGTAATGTACAAAAAACAGCACATCAGACTACCCATTTTCGTTGAAAATTCGTTCGTATTACAACTGCATAAAGACCCCACAGTGTTTCCTTGACGTGCTGTCGTCTGTACCATTGTGTATTTATAGAACATTAGCCCAGAAAAGTAGGTTCTGGGTCCACGGTGGATAGCTTATATTATTAATTTGATTGTCACATGGCTTTCTACAGGCATCATCATCATCGTCGTCATCATTTCAGCCACAGGACGTCGTCCACTGCTGAACATAGGCCTCCCCCAATGATTTCTAGATCGCCCTGTTGGTAGCGGCCGGCATCCAGTGCCTTCCTGCTACCTTTATGAGGTCGCCGGTCCACTTTGTGGTTAGACGTCCCACGCTGCGGTGCGTAATACAGGAATAATTTCCTTAAATAAATACACATACTCGTAGCACCCACGAAATAGTACCTTTTTTATACCGCGTCTGTTTTACCCTCACCTTCCCATGGTTGATGATGTCACTTTGCTCCAGCATGCAAGCAGCGAAGCACTGTCCAGACCTGGAGACTGGCGAGGAGTTGGTGAAGTATGCTCTGACGTCCTTGGGGGAGGCTCGCACTTTGATGACGCAGGACTGCGCCAGACGGACTAGGGCGTCCAGGTGACCTTGAACCTGGGAAGATCATACATGAGAGGGAAATACCTAATGGTATAAATTAGAAGTTCCAGGTTTATGAATCAGTTTTCAAAAGATCCCTAGTATATTTTTTAATTGTTTGATTCGCCTGAAAGTGAGACAGTGGAGGAAATTCATTCTCCTATAATAGGTACTAGGTTTGTTGCTGCATTCAAATAGACCACTTGCAAGTCTCAATTGACTTGATTGAGTTGATATAGACTACTTTTAGGGCGCCGGGAGACCCACAAATAGTAGGATGCAGACGCAATTTAAAATAAACTGGATGGAGCCAAAGGTGTTTAGTATAGTCATAATTATAGTGTGATCACTAAGCTCATATCTCTTACCTTCGGATCTGTAAAATCGACCAGAGTACCAGAGGTGCCATGAACTTGCACCGTAAGCATGCAGGGTAGAATGACCGTCAATATATTGAGCCCCATCATGGTTCCTGAAATAAATAAATTGTTACTGAAGCTGTATATTCGTAAGAAGCCAACTGTGAAATTAAGGCTTATAAAAGTAAGTAATCTACTACTACTCCTTGAGTGAGTACACTTCTTCCTTTAAGCAAAAGTTACTGAGCAGCTTTTGATAAAATTACACGGTCCTTTCTAGTAAAGAAAGATTATTATTATTTACCTATTACAGAAGGCCTTTATGATATTTTAAGCTGTAGAGAACTTATTACGTAATTTTGTGATATGAACTAAGCAAGCATATTACCGTACGTACGTACGTAGCGTACTCATCAATTATTATTGAATAAACTGACTCAAAGGTCGAATAAAAAGGTTCAGCAAAATGGTACAGAAATCCGTTTCCACAGAACTTACATGAACTGTCTCGCGCGCAGCTGTAGACTCCAATGCGTTTCCTGCGCTCGCGCCAGCTGTCCTTTTAAAAAGAAACCTGAAAAAACTCCGATTGTGCGATCAAACAATGTTCAATCACTATTGTTGCGAAACTAGCTTTTGTTTCAGCTTACGACATCAATTTGGCTGATATTTTGAGTGTTCAGTGACTGTAGAGGGATAAGAGAGAAGAAAACATCCTGCCCCGTACTACCAAACTGTGGAATGGACTCTCGTCTGCGGTGTTTCCGGACGGATACGACCTGCAAGCTTTCAAGAAGAGAGCGTCTCACCTTAAAGGCCGGCAACGCACCTGTAACGCCCCTGGGACTACGGCTGTCTATGGGCGACGGTAATCACTTACCATCAGGTGATCCGTCTGCTCGTTTGCCTCCTGTCACATAAAAAATATATTTGAGGTTACTGTCTGTAGAAAATGTAGCCTTCGATTTCGAATTGAGTACGTATATCGCTTCGTAAGTCGAATCATAAAGTTAGCGAATTAAAGCGATGTCAAACTTTATTATGAACCACTTACTGAACTGCCATACCCCCATAATCCGGCTTGTGCTTTCTGAAATACAGAATTTTTTTTTATTTGAAAATTCGATTGATTTGAACAAAAAATAACATGAAGGTTTCATATGAATCAATTACGAGTATGTAACTAACTAAACGAAAGCAAACTACAAACTGGTTTTACACAATTTGTCCCTTCTTGGAAATGAAATAAACTTCAGAAATTATCATTGTACCTACATATTCATGAAACTGTTATATTCGAAATGATATCGATATATCCGTCCGTCCGTATTAATTTTTATACAGTTCATTGATACAGACTAAAAATTAAATATGCATGCGATAAAAATTCGTTTCGTATCAAAAATGCCAAAAACACACACACCAGTTGCAGTGTTGTTTCGTACAATACATATAAGCTTACGCAGGTTGCATAACTTTACATAACAGTTAACAAATGCGAAATTCATAGCGATACAGTAGAATTAGTGATGTTACTTTAATCATCGATAGCTTTGGCATTATCTTTAAACTGTTTAAAAAGTGTTTTCAATTACAAAAGAGTGTGAAAGTGTGTATCAAACTCGCGCATTGAGGGCCTGTATCTCTCTACTCACCTTTCAGTAACTTCTTATCTCGTTAGCTGAAATTTTACCTACTTAGAGAATCTTAATACTCCAAAAAAAGGAAACCAAATTCTATGGAGAGCTGATAAGTCTTGACTTGGGATAAGTCCAATGCAAAACGGATTGCAGATAGCAAAGAAATGATAATGTAGTTAATCTAAAGAAAAAGTTACACACCACTGATAGTGCGCAATGTGCATTTTAAATTTTAATAGGGAGACATTCAGTGAATTATCGAATCTAATTTGTTGAAAAATATATTTGTTGAAATGTTTCCTTCTAAAGAAACGAATAAATTTATTGACATCGCACATCACTAGGATTATCGATATCATCCTACATCTGAGTGGGTTTGAAACGTTGAAAAATAAAACAGTTCGGTGAAATTCCACGCATGAACGTTTTTTTACAATACGCGCTGCGAATGCTGTGATACGGAACTTTTTTGCGTGGGTTCGACGCTTGCCAGTGCCAGCAGTATACGAGACGTGTGTAGGTAATGCAGGTCTTTTTATTTGTATCGGCTACACAATGCATCCGATCAATCAATATGTAAAAATTCTAGGTATAAAGATAATACTTATTATGTGTAAAAGTTTATCTGGTGTAGATAAGAAGAGGTACATAGATAAGAAAAGAATTTCATAGAAAATGAAGCGGAAAACCATTATTATGACTCACTATGAAAACTCATCAGCATCAATCTAAAAATGCAGTTTGATACCTATCCGAAAATAGCGTCTATTACAAATTTTACATAAGCGGTCACCTTTAATAATTACAAAATGTTCAGCTTGATATGCTATCGTCGATAACATTTTCTATTTATAATTAGCAGAATAAGGCACTGTAAGAGCGCAACTAAAGTAATTAAAAAAGTTGGCTATCCTTCAAATCTTTCGCATGTACCTATTTTGAATACACACCGTTTTATACCGAACTTTTTTCATCAGCCTACGAATGCCAAAAACTTAGCATTATTATTATTGGGACATCTCCACTGGTGTGGGACGTGGGACGTGATACTAATGGGGGGAAATACGGGAACTTTTGACGTCCCCGCGCAAATTGTTCGCGGGGACTCTACACGGCCACCAATTTACTTTGACTTGATCCTTGAGGATGCCACAGTTCAGATGAAGGCAATAACTCTAACAATCTAGTGAAGGTCGCGGGAGCACTTGGGTGCAGACAGCGCAGAGCCGGTCGTGGTCGAAATCCTGTGAGAAAGCGTTTATTAAATCCAGCAGTGGACAGCTCTCGGTTGAAAAGATTTTGTGGAGAAATTTAGTTTCAAAGATAACTTTATTTTCAAATCTGAGGCCATTTTGGGTTCTGGAATAAACTGGCACAGACATTGAATTGAAAAGTCTCTCGAGTCATGCAAGTTTACAAGTTGTCCACATAACAATTTGCTTTGGTTCAAAAATCTTGCTTATAAGAGTGAGAGTGGTATTTAAGTCGTTTGAAAATAAGATGTGGCAACCTCATCATCATCATTTCAGCCACAGGACGTCCATTGCTGAACATAGGGCTCCCCTAATTATTTCCGCATCACCCGCTTGGTAGCGGCCTGCATCCAGCGCCTTCTTACTTTTATGAGGTCGTCGGGTCATCTTGTGGGTAGACGTCCCACTCTGTGTTTTACGGACATAATCCTACGGATTAGCAAGCTGAAGTGGCAATGGGCAGGGCAGAACTGACGGCCGATGGGGCAGCAAGGTCCTAGAATGGCAACTTCATGGTTTTCTTCAAATCCGAACTTGACCTATTGTTCCATAATTATACTGTGACGAAGACGGCTAGTCTCCTTATGCAATTTGTGAGGGAATGAAAAAATATCATGGCTCAAGATATCTTGGTCGTCAGTAATAGGAGTTTATTTCGCATCGCGGTCGCACGAGATACGGCGTGAACAAATTTATATTAGACGCTAAATTGTTCTGTTGTGCCTTATGTTGTAGATGATATATTGACCGAGGAAGTATATCTTACTGTGTTTAAGCTATAATAAGGGTGATTATGCTATAAAAGAAGGTGTAAAATGATGCATGGGTAGCTTTTCAGCGGTCACTCTATATGATTGCGTTTTGCCAAATTATTTTACACGATTCGTGTTTGATTTCTTAGGTTCATCTCTCATTTTATTGATTCAAATGAAAAAGTAAGCCAGCCAGAGGCTGTCTTACTTTGCAACTTTTTTTGTGGTAGGTAGGTATACCTAATAGACTTTTCAGCTTAGTGATAGATAGGTATACTTATACTTTTTTCTTGGAACTAATCTACGAATCCAAGAAAATAGACTTTCAATGAAACTAATAATTAGTGGTGGTCTGAGGTTTTGTTTAATGCATATTACATGAGTAAATATTTTGGCATTAGCCTTCAGCATAGAGTATTAGCAACACGAAATGGTTATAAAATTGGTCGGCCATTTAAAATAAATTATTGTAATCGAGCCCGTTGTACCGATGCATAAACGCCATTAAGCTCTGCTGGAACTAATCACCAAAATAGAATTAGTTGATACACATCTAAATTCTGTGTTGGATCAGCCAAACTCATTCATTCGCGTTTCATACTTTAAAAGGAAAAGAAGATCAGTAAAATGAAATCGACAATTCTGAAGCTGTTGATCGTTCTGTTCCTGACGTCTCTTCTGGTTTCGTTTACTCTTTGTCAAGAAGAAGAAGCTAGTTCAACGACGACGGCAGCTACCACAAAGGCAGAAGAAGAAGAAGAAGAACCGCCGAAGAAAGGCTGCTCGATTTGGTGTTGGATACAGAAGATCGCCATGTTTGTTATTTCTCAGCTTCTTAGTGGTAACTGAGTGTGTTGTAATTAAAATACTGATGCAAGTTAACAGTGTTTTTTTCCCAATTGAATTCTTGTAATACCGATTTCATAATGTGATCCTATGTTAAAATGTTATGAACTAGTGAAGTTTCCTACTTTATTAGTTATTTCTGAAATGGTGACCGAAGAATTAAATTGTATTGTCGAATATATTTGCTCTTTCTCAATCAGTAATTAAATGATAATAAATGAAGTGAAATCTTCTTTTTTTAAGTGTTTACATGAAAAATAACACAACTCAACCCATATAATTTTCTTCTATTTAGTAGAGTAATCAATGAAGACAATAGAATCTTGCTAGGTTCTTCTGCATAACAGTGCTGAAAAGTTGTTTTGAAAATAAAGTAGAAAGGAGAGAAACATTTTACGCTTTACACATTTAAGTGTAAGCATCCTTGTCACGGATAAATAAGTGTTCAGATATATCGGCGAACGGTTCCATTCCGTAACTTTCCGCAGTGCAACTTCGTTTGAAATAAATTTGTATCTTTTTTAGAGATCCGTGAACCAATGAAGGTACCAACTCGCACATTTAGAGGGGCGAGTTGACGAACAAGTCGAAATAGGACTAAAACTACAAACATATCTGTAATGTTATAGTTAATATTGAAATCAAAATGATTATTGCTGTACTCATATAATCTTTTTAAGAGCATTTCCTTTTGATTGCTATCTTTCTTACAAGGTTGTGATTTGGAGGGCAAGTAGAAAGGCACCGTTTCAATTAAGACAAGTCAAATGAGATAACTCATTAATTTTTACAGCGGATATGTATGTAACATAACAAACATCATCACCATCATCATTTCAGCCATAGGACATCCACTGCTGAACATAGGCCTCCCCAAATGACTTCCACAATGGCCGTAGAGCTTTTGAAGAATTTTTTTATGAACTGGTTTCTATTTTCATGTCGTTACTAAGCTGTGGAACCCAGTAAGTTTTCCAATTTACGCTTGACTGTTTTCCTTTGCGTGAATCCGACAGTCTTGAGTGCTCGGCAAACGAGCGCCGGCGTCTAAATCAAACACATTTGCCGCGTTTTTATTTTTGTCAGAATTTTTGGGTATTTTTCGATGTGTTAAAGACTACTTTGGAAGTATGTTTGGTTACATTATTATGTTGTTGATGATGTGATATCGACATTAGAAGTATCCCCACAGAAACCTATTTCTTCGTCCAGAAATTAAAAGTATCTTAACAGAAATCAATTTTCCTTAGAAAATAAGACTTTCAGTTCATATTAGGTATATTATACGTAAATGTAAAAGTTTGTAAGGAGAATAGACAAAATTTCTGTCTGTGAGTGACAAACCAAAAACATGTGGGCGAAATCGATGGCAAAAGATAGTTTGATGTCTTCAGGGAAAATATTTCCAATTTTCTTTTTCCTTCTCGGTTTATTGGTTTTCAGTGAATATCAACAAAAAACGCTTACTTGTTCAGTATTTCTTGCACAGCAACACATTTAGTCGTTCTTTTTTATTTTATTAGTAACATTTTCTGTGCAAGACTTATTAATGTTTAAAAAGTTGCTTTAAAAACTTTAATTCAGCTATAGCTACCTATGTAGTCACATCAAAAGGAACTGGTAGGTAGGAAGGGTAGATACTTTTATATGCATCACATTGTATTCTTCTAACTGAGGGCTTTGTAGCTAGCTAGCGAGCGCGTTAAAAAAAGATTTTAGTTATTGAAATGAAGATTTTAGATCTTGAAAGTTTCCGCTAGGGGCGCTATACAATCCGTCATACATTTAATGTCACTTTTTTACGCAGTCGACATCTCACACTACACCTCCCGCAATAATTTCTACATCGCCCGGTTGGTAGCGGCCTGCATCCAGCGCCTTCCTACTCATCCCCCTGTTCGAGTAGATAACTACTAATATTACAAATGCGAAAGTTGGATGTCTGGATGTTTGTTACTCTTTCACGTAAAAACTACTGAAAGGATTTTAATGTACAGTATTATTGTTTATAACCCAGAATAACATATAGGCTATAAATTATGACGATATATCGTGTGACATTTATGTATATGTGACAAACTAAATTTCACGCGGGTGAAGCCGCGGTCAAAAGCTAGTAGATAGATAAATCCTTATTTTACAGTTTCTTTCCATGTAACTAAATATAGATAACGAGATACTAGCAGCTGCAATAGTGTGCGTATTACAATGGGAATATGAACGGATCATCGTGGTATTAGGAATTTACTGGAGCAGCTTAATTTTGATCGAAACGAGTTAAACTTAATCTTCCAATTGCGGGACGGGGAAGTATTAAATTATGCTGCGGTATCGAGAGGTTTTTATTTTTCTTGTTAAGAATTTTCTCGACGGATTGCTAGAAGTACTTAACGTATTTAGAACTTGTGACTCATGTTCTAGTAGTTTTTATTCGAGAATTTCGAGATTATGTTCGCTTCGCCACATCCTTATTTTACTAATTGTTAATGATAGCAATATACCCCTACGTATATTACTAGTACTTCTATTGTTAATTATAAAAAATTAAAGGCACTGGTGGTCATGGTCATGGTGTCATGCCAGAATATCAAGAAAAGTTAATGTCTTGAAATGAGGAAAATGTCTTGAAACCTTTTTAATTTCGATGGAAAAAAGCATTTATAATAACATATCCGCTGGTACTGGGAAGACGTGGCGGAAGACAGTCCACCTTTGTTAGAAAAGAGGTAGTAAGAAAAAAGTTGTGCATAAAGTAACACTGATAAAATAAACCCCTATAAAATGCCAGTATTTACCTTGACGTGTCGTCGCCTGAACAAACCCCTATCAAATGATTTCTGAACGTAAGTAGGTACATTTTCTGTTCGTTTGTTTGATCATTAATACCTTTAATGTTCCCGCCAGGTCCCTATGCCAGGAGCGCTTCGATACCTCACAAAGGAACAGCTAAAAGAAATAAGCCATTCCATTTCAATTAAAAATATATTTTTTGAAATTTTTTAAGATTTTCAGAAAAGTGTTAGCCAAAATTCTTTGACCAGATACCTAGTAAAAAAATCTTTCATTACCAAAATTACAAATTACAGCTTACTAGTAGTCCTCAAACTAGGTAATCCTGTATCATGGGGACATAAAGCGTAAGTGCTGAATAATAACCTTTCTGAAGCTTTTAAGGTCGACATCAACGCAAGTTCAATACGTTGAATGAATATTCAAATCTCTAATCGTTGCATTTACTTTTTTCTATGAATATGAGGTATAATTTGTCGTACTGTATTGGGCTACAAGTTGTGCTAAACACGACCCAGAGCAATCTTATGTTAACACACATTTTTTTTGGATTAATATTTGTGTATTGATTGATATTTAATTAAGTTTGTAGTTACCTCGTAACCAAATGTTAATGTTCGTAATTTAGTTCGTATTGGTAGAAATTTGTTGATTTTTTTTGGACAGGAGGCAAATAAAATAAAATAGTGTGAATGTACTGGCTGATCTTTGTCGAGCTGTGGTATTATCCCAAAAGAACGTCATCATTTCCGACTAATCCGACGTGTCAAATTAAATTCAAGCTGCGAGTAGGCTTTTATAAGGATTACTTGTGTTCCTGCCAAAGATCTGAGCAACGTACCTATAAAGGCGCGTCAAGCTTTACACTATACGACCACATAGGACCTTATACAGTTGTAATAGACGCTATTTTGCAACAAAAATGTAAAGGCTTACGTATTCTCGATTGTACAATGACGTGTGATACAGTTCAATCTTTACTCTCTGTATGTGGATGAACGGACGTTTGTAAATTATTTTCCTGTAAGTAAACTACTCGACGAATCTTGATGAAACGTTGTAATATTGTATGAGTAGTTAATAGTTTAGGTATCAGGTTTAGGCAAGGCTTTTAGTTGGGCCTTATCTTTCATGAAAATCTATGAGGACGCACTTTGGAAGGTAATTGAAACGAAATTGATACATTTGGCTATATTTCTATAAGCTCTATCTATAAAAGATCACGATAGAGAGTTTTAAAATACTCATTGAACATAATTGTGTGAGCTATTCATAATGCCTTTTACTATGACTTCGCTGGGCTTTGGCGGTCAGTCATTTACATATGAGTTTCAGTTAGAACGAGAGTTGGGAATAGTCCCATTAATGGCAAACACACACTCATTCTGAACACTATAATCCGGGCCTTTTCTAGGCGAGGAGTGAATAGGCACTTACAGGGCAGAAATGTACCATCCTAGACTACATCTCACTTAACACCAGGTGCTGTTTCGGTCAAATACCTGACTTGTCTTCATAAAAAAAAGTTTTGCCCTATTTTGTTTTCACTGGGGAAGACTGGCATTATTCCAATACCAACAGAGTAGGTACAATGCTGTCTCAACTAAAGACGTTGGATTTAAACTGTTTACTTTAATAAGATTCTGTACAAGTGCGTGCAGTCGTTGAAGACCTTAGCCTTTCGGCAGACATCTTGTTTGTGCTGAGTTGCGTCTGCGCTCTCCACGCATGAGCTTCCGAAGTCGCTGACCAGGTTCCTCTGGTCGAGCTGGTGAGCCAGTTGCACTCGTTTTCTGAAAATAACATTAATTTTAGAATTTACCGTACCTAACTTGGTTTGGTGATCATCAAGCACGTTTACGTATTTACATCTGTAACACTTAGTTTGATGATTGTCATCATCATCAGTCTCCACCGTAGGGGCACGGCCCTTTAATAATTTACCGGAGGCAAATAGATATGTACCATCCTAGACTGCATCCCACTTAACATCAGATGCGATTGTGGTTAAATACTTGCCTTGTTGTGCATAAAAAACAGGCTCTGCGCAAACATTTCAAGGAATGACCTTTTTTTCTCCATTTTCTCGCTATCTCAGACATGAGTGATGCGTACATCTATAATATTATTATGTTTATGTATTTATGTGTATGTCTATTACATTTATTTGTATTATGTTATTTATTTTATGTAATCTTATGTAAGTAGGTTTATTATCAAAAATGTAAATTTCTTGCACCGCCTTACTCTTTCTGCATGGCCCGTGGTTGACTGGCAGAGAATGCCATCCGGCATTAAGTCCGCCACAGTGCATTTGTTACTTTGTGTGCTGAAGTATACATAAATAAAAAAAAATAGAGGATTGTCTACACTACCCACGCTGCGCGCTGCACTGGTCAGACATAGAATAAGTATTTGAAATTTTATAGTTGATCCAAAAAACAATTCAGTTAAAGCCTGATGTAAATCGGAAGATAAATCAATCGAAAAAAAATCGGAGTAAAATAAAAAAATCTTACAAGTGTCTTATGGAATAAGCTGAACATCACGTCACACAATTAAGTAGGAAAAATAGTATTTCGTTAAACAGCACTATATTTATACCTAAGTAATGCTGAAATAAGTTCTGAGTTCTCAGAAGCTGAAGGCTTTTGCTTTTGATTCTAGATGAAGTTCGATATTACATTTTTATACCAACTTCTAATTAAAGTTGCTGGTTTCAAAGAACTTCGCCATTTTGCGGCAGATTATTATGTACAAAAGTTATATGTTTTAATGAGAAAATTCCAGTTATATGTTCATAGTTACTGCTAGAAGCCTTTTAATGATTACTCCGAGTTCTTGGTAATTCGAATTTGATTTTGATTGTAATTAATATGTATTCACAAATTCTGCTATAGGCTGGATTGTAATATGAAACTATAGACGCTAGATGATTATGAAAGTTAGAATTCTGTAAATTACAATCTAACCTTAGTTTAATAGCTGAAGCATGAAACTTTTTGTTTAGTCAGTGAGATTGGAATTTATTAATGACTAGCTTTCCGCCCGCGGCTTCGCTATTTGTCTGTCACAGAAAAACTTTATCGCGCGCGTCCGTTTCAAAAACCGGGATAAAACTATCCTATGTCCTTTCCCGGGACTCAAACTATCTCTATGCCAAATTTCATTAAAATCGGTTCAGGGGTTTAGGCGTGAAAGCGAGACAGATAGACAGACAGACCGACAGACAGACAGACAGAGACAGAGTTACTTTCCCATTTATAATATTAGTAGTAGGCGCTCCGCAAGCGTAGGACCGGTCTTTGTGGAAATCCTTGCCTTTGTCCAGTAGTGGACGTCATATCGGTTGAAACGAACAAACAAAGGCGCTCTTCGTATTATGGCTATAACTTATAGTTTTCTTTTCAATTCCTCACCTATAAATCTCCAAATTGATGACGCCATTCGCGGACATTATACCCAGCTTCTTCAGGACACAAAAGATGATGCACGGCTCATCAGACTCTTGGATTTCCACGTGTTTGGCTTTCGGGAACATCTCGTTGAAGCACTGCTGCGCTACCAAGTCGCTGAGTTTGTCGTGGGCGTACATGACTGAGATGCGGGCTTGGGCGATGTATGGAAGCAGCAGGACCAGAAGGATTGAGCCTGGAACAATGGGAGCTTGGTAATGCGGAGGTTCGCTTATCCGATGTCCTTATTACGAGAATGTGAAGTAAATTGGAATTTATATCATGTACAGTACAGACGAAAGCATAACTGTGGCATCTTATGTACCTACCTACTTAGTTATTATGCAAAAAAAGTGTGATGTTTTGTACCATTTGGTATTTCATATACTTCTTAGTTATACAGAGTTGCAGACTTGCAGAGAGGCTACCTCGTTATACATAGGACTTTAGATCAGAGGGCCTAGTGTGAGTTTACATTAAACGCGCTCACTATGAGCGCGTCAAAAATGACATTAAATGTATGACGGATTGTATACAGCGCCCCTGGCTGTTCAAAAACTAAAATTTTCATACATTTTATATGATGTAAACTCACACTCGGCCCACAGTGTTAGTAATTTACACTTATTATTATTCTGTGGTAATACCGTCAGTGTATGTGTGTAAAGTTTTCTTTACCCTAAAAATGCTAACCCAATTTTGATGGCTTCGACGTTTTGACGTTTGAAAACTATGTAGTTTGTTCAGGGAAAGTGTAATTAGCTATACGAAATTTACGTTACAAGTTTGTTTATTGGTATATAGGTACTCTTCGGAATTACTTTACGTATTAGTACACTCAGTAAATAAGACAAGACTGATAATTTTCAACCCAGACGAACTCAGGGTGGCTTGCTAGTATAATATTAGATTTATGTTGTCGGCCGTTTGGTGTAGTGGTTCAGAACGGACTACTATGCCGAGAGGTCCCGGGTTCGATTCCCGGCCGGGCAGAAATTGAAATGATGAATTTTAATATCTGTGACGGGTCTGGGTGTTTTCTATGTATAATGTGCATGTATTTACAAAAAAAAAGTATTTAAGTATCTTTATCCCGTCGTCTAGTACCCATAGTACAAGCTTTGCTTAGTTTGGGACTAGAGGCGCAGTGTAAAATGTCCAAGGATATTTATTTATTTATTTATTTATTATGTAACTAGTTTTTGGAACTTCTCCAGAAAACAGGTAAGCATTCAATACCTTCTAAGTATAGTAACATGGCTATCAAGTTATTTATTTATATTCTCATGAAATTTAAACATGTAATAAAAATCCACAGAACACTTTGATATGCTAAGATATTCATTTTATGCTGAAGTAGCGTTCCTAATCAGAAACTTTTCGTTCACTTTAGTCATACACATAATTTTGGTAACTCAAAGGTTGAATAAAAGAAGCGGGAACTTTGTGTTGTTTATTTACGAAAGTATCAAAAATTCAAAAATATTCTAGTTAACTACCATTCTTCAGGGTCTCTGAAAGAAATCGCGTACAGTTGAGTGCAGTCGTTGAAGACTTTGGCCTTCTTGCAAACATCGTGATCCAAATTCATCCCATTGATGTTCTGTGCACAGGTCTCCCCTACATCTGAGATGAGGATCCTTGGGTCATATCGGTGGATGGCTTGGACTCTTTTGTAGTAGTTCTTGATGTTGATCAGACCGTCGTTGGACATGATCCCGAACTTTTTCAAGACGCAGTGGATGATGCAGGGGATGTCATTCCTGTCTATGTGGAGAGGGTACTGGTATAAGTTCCGAGGGTACATCTCGGTCAAGCATTCGTTGGTGACCTTGTCGCTCTTTTTGTCTCTGGCGTATAGGATGGATATCGACGGCTCCGAGTCCAGGCTTTGCGATAGGAACTTGGTTTTGGCCTCCACCGTGATTAGCGGCAGAATTGTCAAGATGAGTATCTCTGAAAGTATTTAGATAGACACTCTTTATTGCACACAACACTGAACCGACAGTTCCAAAAAAATTGCTAGAAAGCGATGTCGAGTTTTACGCAATTTTGTATTTTGACTCTCTCGCTATATGTACAAATATTTCAGTCTGTAGCAAACGTCTGAAAATAATATATAGTAAACTGATTTAGATTCGCATGTGTTTTGATTATAGTATTTCCATTAGTAAATCATGTTTGCGACTAGGTTTTGAATGTAAAAGACAGTTATTTGAATTTTTTTACTGTATCGAAGGATAAAAGATATAAGAAGAACCAAATGGGCACTTATTTCCGTGGAACATTACATGTCTATAAAATGTATATTCCTAACATTCCCATTTCTAATATATTAGAAACGGGCCAAGTTACTGAGAAATGTACTCGCTCAAAGGGAGTTAATCTTGCGTTCAATTTTAAACTTTAGCACGTCCGTTTAAGATTCAATTCGTGTACACGTCCCAGCTTATAAGCGAACGGTTGCATCGATCTTGCATGTCAAAGGAAGTTGAGCAGTGCATTGCATCTAAATGGATCCTAACGAAAAAGAGGATATGCCATTTTGGACCTCTTTGAGGCGTGAAAAATTTACAATAGTAACTATAATACTTATGAGAGTGACCGTGAGGTCTATTAGAAAGTAGGTATGCTTTGTCACTTTCTGGGGGCGTAGTGTAAGTTTACGTCAAACGCATTCAACATCAACTGCGTTAAAAAAATATAAAATATGAAGATTTTAGTTCTTGAAAGTTTCCGCTAGGGGCGTTGTACAATTCGTCATACATTTAATGTCACTTTTTTACGCAGTCGACATTGAATGCGTTTGACGTAAACTCACTCTACGCCCCCTGTACGATAAAGATTGTATCGATTAATTGTTCAAAAATAACTTTTTTTTTTTATTTATGTGACAGGAGGCAAACGAGCAGACGGATCACCTGATGTTGATATTTATTTAATTTTCAGTAACTATAGTTTTTTAATAAAAAAAATAACGTACCTACCTTATTATGTAACATGACTGTTTATTTTTAACTGACTGTTTATATTACTTACTGAAAACCTGATTTTTCTGTGGCAAGGTTTTTATTTGACTGCTATTTGATGACATATTTTTCGATACAAAATCTTTCTGTCCACCAAACTTAGTCTGATGGTTCTTTCAAACTGATGATTAAAAAAAGCAAAATATTGCAATTTTCATAACTAACGTATTCACGAATCACTCATTCTCTTTCACAGACACTAGTTTCATAAAAACAGTTGTTTTAAAAATATTTTATACCTTTTGTCTATTTCAAAGGAATTAATCAAAAGTCCCATTCTCACTGTTAAAATATTCTTTTGTTGTAAGGAGATTCTTAACGCTTTCTCCCCTCGCGATAACATAGTAGCGAATTCTTAAAGAAATGGATTTGTTTTCTGAAATATTTCCATTTTACATTTGCATTTTGCTTGAGAAAAATCTGTTCTTTTGTTGGATTTTTTCTCTGTTATAAAACAAGTGAACGCTCGCGGCTGTTGGAGTTTGTATTCTGCCTAATTCGGAGACCATATTTAGACCATTGTTCTAAAAATAGTATGTTAGGTAACAAAGAATATAAAGGGCCATCTTAGAAAAAAGTTAAACACCCGTTGAACACTGATTTAAAATGTGTTAAGTGTCACCTGGTGTTAAGTGAGATGCAGTCTAGGCATTTCCATAGTAAATGTCATTTTAAATAAGTTTAACGCGATTTTAACTTTTTGTAATAAGGCTCAAGGGTTGTCACTTAAAATAGTCTTTCAAATGAATACTTTGTCTTAACTTTGACAGTAAAAAATACATTAAAAACTTACTTTCCATGTTAACGTAAATTAGTTTTTCACAAAGGACAATTAAAACTCATTCTAGCACAGTCAAAGTGGAGTTGCTCAACCAAACTGGTATAATTTTCGTTGTCGGTCCTGAAAAGGTTTGTTTAGGTATTTTCGGAACTATGTTTTATATACCATTTGGTTTTGAAACAATCGCCATTGTTCGTAAATAGCGATAAGCTACAAGCTGTGGTTTAGTACATTTTTTTCTAGCAGGTGTTGATAAAAATTGTTGATGACAATTATTATGTAAGATAGACAGGTGGTTCTCTTGTCAGTTTGTCTAGAAATATCTTTATTGGAAACATAATTTGCCATATTGTGCTAAATAAGTTGTTGAAAGGGGGATTAGATGACTGTTTTATAGTAATCTCAAAATCGAGGGCCAGTTCAATCGAAGATTCAAAAGATAGTATTTAGTTGTCATTTCTTTTTCTGTTATGAATGTAACCACTAAGGTCATTCTGGTGTTAGATATAATGATTTTTAAGATAACATATCTCATTTGGAACGATAATTAGCTTAGCGTGACCTCTAATAACGGGCAAAAAAGTCGAGTTTAGATAGTTAAACTTATAATTCAGACACGTAAGCTATAAATCACTAATATCACAATTCCCCCAGGTATTTCAATACCTATCCGCCATATTTGTGTTCGACACAACAAAGTAGATTTAAAATTCAAGTTTGCCCCTACATTTTCATATCCAAAGTACAGTCGCCCAAACATGTTTTATTTTCAACCTTATTTCGGTGGGGTACAGCGATATAAAAATTTCGGGATCCCTGTACATACCTTTTCTAGGGAAAGCTATCAAGTCGACGTGCCCCGTGAGAAATCATCGGAGTTAAAGAAGATGAATGTGCGAGCTCTGTTGAACCAATCTCGGCGAAATGCACAAGTTCTATGATTTGTTGGACAAGATGTATGTTGTAAACATTTTCATTTTGTTTGGGATTTTCCAGTGTGATGTTAAAAATAGTTTTTAATATTGCAAGTCTGCGTTAGATCACAAGCTAAGAGACGAAAATTCGACTTCTGAAGGAAGACATTTTACTTTTTACAAGTTTTTTTAGAGAGAAATAACGTTAGATTGAAATAACATTTCGTCAAATTAGAAAAATAGTTGACGAAAATATTTTGTTTTAAACTAACTTAAAATATACAATCTGCTTTAGAAGAATATTTTGTATGCTTATTGTACATAATACCACAGAATAATAATAAGTGCTACGTACAGAAGTTTTACTTCGCGAAGGTATTTAAAAAAATGTATGCTCAATGTCATTAACAATATGGTGTAATTTAGCCTGTCTCAAGAGTCAAGCACCGNTAGTAGCCGAATATTCGTGGCATGTCTAATTTCCATATTAAAGCTCAATTTAAATAAGTGTTCAATGCGCGTTTAATTCTTTGTAATAAGGCCCAAGGTTTTTTGCATAAAATGGGTTAGACTTTCGAATGAACTTTACTTTGTCTTAACTTTGACAGTAAAAAATACAATAAAAACTTACTTTCCATGTTAACGTAATTTAGTGTGTCACAAAGAATAATTAAAACTCATTCTAGCACAGTCAAAGTGGAGTTGCTCAACCAAACTGGTATAATTTTCGTTGTCGGTCCTGAAAAGGTTTGTTTAGGTATTTTCGGAACTATGTTTTATATACCATTTGGTTTTGAAACAATCGCCATTGTTCGTAAATGGCGATAAGCTACAAGCTTTGGTTTAGTACATTTTTTCTAGCAGGTGTTGATAAAAATTGTTGATGACAATTATTATGTAAGATAGACAGGTGGTTCTTTTGTCAGTTTGTCTAGAAATATCTTTATTGGAAACATATTTGCCATATTGTGATAAATAAGTTGTTGAATGACTGTTTTATAAAAATCTCAAAATCGAGGTTCAGTTCAATCGAAGATTCAAAAGAAAGTATTTTATTGTTATTTCTTTTTCTGTTATGAATATAACCACTAAGGTCATCATAGTTCTGGTGTTAGACATAAAAAAAAATTAACATAACTCATTTGGAACGGTAGTTGGCTTACACTCGTATTGACAAACGATGCTTGCTTAAGTGAAGCAGTAAATCGAACGCACAGCGATGAATAGAGCTCTGTAATCGGTTCGTTTGTGACCCTGTGAGTCCACGCGCACTGTGAGACCTTATAGAATACGGGCCTGAGCGTCCCCTTAAATAACGGGCAAAAAAGTCGAGTTTAGATAGATACGTATTGTAACTTATAATTCAGACACGTTAGCTATAAATCACTAATATCACAATTCTCCCAGGTATTTCAATACCTATCCGCCATATTTGTGTTCGACACAACAGAGTAGATTTAAAATTCAAGTTTGCCCCTACATTTTCATATCCAAAGTACAGTCGCTCAAACATGTTTTATTTTCGACCTTAAGTCGGTGGGGTACAGCGATATAACAATTTTGGGGTGCTGTACATACCTTTTCTAGGGAAAGCTATCAAGTCGACGTGCCCCGTGAGAAATCATCGGAGTTAAAGAAGATGAATGTGCGAGCTCTGTTGAACCAATCTCGGCGAAATGCACAAGTTCTATGATTTGTTGGACAAGATGTATGTTGTAAACATTTTCATTTTGTTTGGGATTTTCCAGTGTAATGTTAGAAATAGTTTTTAATATTGCTAGTCTGCGTTAGATCACAATATCACGTGCTAAGAGACGAAAATTCGACTTCTGAAGGAAGACAATTTACTTTTTACAAGTTTTTTGAGAAATAACGTTAGATTGAAGTAACATTTCGTCATTTTAGATACATTGTTGACGAAAACATTTTGTTTTAAACTAACTTAAAATATACAATCTGCTTTAGAATAATATTTTGTATGCTTATTGTACATACTACGTACTTTATACACTTTCAGAAGATTCTCTAGAAGTTACCTTATATTTAGTCCTACAGGGCAACTTTGGCTCAAAACAAAAAAAGATTTAATTTCACACCTCTTCATAGCAATGTCTACAGGTCAATTATTACATAGCATTACTGACGTCATTTTTTTTAATTGGTCGCAAGATTTGCTCAATTTCGATACTTTTTTGTTAAACCAAAGTCGCCCGTTATGGCTTTAGTAATCCGCAAA